CTTGGGCGGACCTGCACAAAAAGGTGAGCACTCCAACGATCAAGTCAGTATAGGTCGGATTCCCAGTTTAGTTCGAGGCCAGAATCATCGTACCTGATCGTGGATTGAGGTCCTCTACTTATGGGCGGTAGTCCCACTAATCTCGCGACGGTTACATTCGGTAATCTCGGGACCGTCGGTTACACCCGATAATCTCGGGACCGACGGTTACGCTCGATAATCACGCCGCTGACAGTTGCTCACATCGGCCCCTACCGAGCTCCCCGGTAGGTCAGACTTGGGTCAGGTTCACCTCGGCCCTCATACTTAGCATTTGTCGACGTTAGTGGCGGCCATCTCGGCGGTCCGAGCTGGGCATGACTCATGAGCCATCTTGGAGCACCAATAGGGGTCCTCCACGTGTCCAGGGTACTCCCTTCCCCAAACAAGTTTCTAAAGTTAGTGGGAGTTCTAGTTGGAAATGTTGATCAGCCCTCCCTAAAATTCACTCTAAAATTCACCAACTTTGAAGAGAAGAAATTTGTTTTATTATGAAACTCTAGAACACACAAGAGAAAAATATTGTTCTCTTTTCTTTCTTGATTTAAATGCTTCAATTTTCTTCTTCTTTCTTTCTTGGTTACAAATGAGAGAAGTGATCTCTTTATATAACACCCAAGAGACACCTCTAAAAGACACAAAATAAATATGGATACATGTGTATACTTCATTCATGTATCTGGATATATTAGCTTACATGTACCTAGTAATTCATGTATCTAGGGAGTGGGAATTGAGGTATGTATATTGGGAATTAATCTACTAGCTTAAATTCTAACGGTTCTTACTTTCTATTTCCTTATTTTCTAGGCTGCACCATTAGTGCTTAGTGTTTCCTCTTTCCCATCCTTTCTCACAAACAAGTTAGTGGGACTTGCCACATGAAGATCTAGGAAAGATCGGTGTGCTAAGATCTTTCCCAAAAACTTTGGAGACAAGATGTGGCTGACCTTGAATTCGACAAAAAAGTGACTTGTAAGCTTGGTCAAACTCCACTTGGTCGAACAAAATACCATGCTCTGACCATTGGGACCCGACAGATCGTCCTTCTGCAACTAATTCTCTAACAACATTGTAGACACCATATTTGGTATGGCTCTCTTTTGTTAAATTCATTTAGCTATTTGTTATCATTATTATTTATTTTATTAAGTTTAATTTTAATTGTTTTGGTTAAAAATAACATAATTTACTTTATTATTAGTTTTAAGGTAAAGTTTTATTTAAATTAAATTTTAAAAATAGATTTTGTTTTTTTTTAAAATTTTTTTTTATTTCTTTTTAAGTTAAGGATTTTATTTAGATTTTTTTTAACAAATAGATTAAGAAGCAATCCTTCCTTTGATTTTTCTTGGTCAAAATTTACACGTGGCTTCTCTCCCTCATATTTCTCCCCTTTTTTTTCTCTATTCTTTTTTACCTTCCCTTGTTACTGTTGTCCTCTGTAGTATTTAAGAGAACTGCATAGAGGGACGGGGAGGAAAAAAACACAATGCAGTGAGGAAAATTTGTTTTTTTACCCTTTAGGAAAATCCAACATCCATTAAAGTTCACATTTTTTTCATTTTCCTTTTATTAACCATTTTTCCTTCGCATTTTTCCTCTTCCTCCATCTCCCCTCTTCCCCTCTTCTTCTTACTTTAAGTCCACATTCCCGACTGCATACACTCTTTTCCGGCGACCTCCAAGGTAGCCACGACGTCTCCAGTGACGGCAGCGGCCTCTACGTTCGGCACATAGATCTCCAACGACCAATTCCCACCAGCACAGTAGTTAGAGCACTCTTTCACCGCTTCAGACTCACGAGCACACCAAGAAATTCCTCCCTGCAGTAGGTGTTTTAAAAAAATGCTTTTGGAAATGATTTTTTTAAATGAGTTTGTTTTAAAATTTCTTTTTTTTAATGAGTTGGTTTTAAGATTTTTTTTTAATGAGTTTGTTTTAAATATATTTTTTAAATAAATTTGTTTTAAATATGATTTTTTTAAAAATAAGTTTGTTTTAAATATGATTTTTTTTAAACAAGTTTGTTTTAAATGAGATTTTTTTAAAATAAGTTTTAAAGAAGTTTGTTTTATGCGGATTTCAAATCTAAAACAAAATAGAGTAATTTTTTTTAATTTTTGATTTTAGTTTTTATTTTCTTTTTTATTTTAAACAAAATTTCAAAACAAAGATTTTTTATCATTGTTTTTTAAGAATTATTTCGAAAACTTGTTTTGTTGGTGGGGCTGTCTCACTGTTTATGTGTGTTGACCTCGGGCTGTGAGGTCCTTTTTTTGCCTTTAATATATCTATCTTTCCAAAAAAAAAAATTGTACATAGAAAATGATGTATAAGTATCCTTTCTTTCAAACTAACATACTTTGTCCTGGTGTTTGTATTCTGCCAAAGTTTTGTAGGATTTCTAACTCCTAACACCAATTCAAATTCAAACTCATTCTGCTTCAAGTCAATAGGTAGCCAAAAAGGCTTTTGTCAACTTCCCGTGACTTTAAGATCTCTTTCAATTGATTTTTATGAATCACAAAAAGAAGAATTTCAAAGAATGAGATGGAATCAAGTGAAGAGAGTTGAAGAGCAAAAGCAAAACTTTTCTAAATATGAAAATTTTATGACACAATCCAACGGAAAGGAGATTTCTAAAAAATGAAAACAAAAATCTACCTAAAATTTTATACAAGAAAAGAATTTATTTTCGAGCACTTGCAATAATGCATGAGGATGATATTACAAAATTGCTCTTGAATGTTAAGTATAGCACGGTATATTTGTTGTTACTATTCATTATGTTATTTTTATATATAGGTGACCATGAACAAGTGAAGTGTAAGGAAACAAATCCAAGCACAAAATCAACAATTCAAGTAGTTGGATATGATAACACTTGTAGAATCAACCAAAACACTTACAAAACAAACTCAAATGGAGGTCTAAAAGATCAGTAGACAAAGACTTCAAAGTAACTTTACAAGGTGAGTGTACTACACGTGATTATTTTCATATTGTTAACTTACTTATTTTTGTGAGAGGTTGCTTATTTGATTGGAGGGCGGATCCTTAGAAAAGAGGAGAAGATGATGATGTCTCATGCAACCATCAATTGCACCACCAACTATAGGAAGAAATTGTGTCCCCTCTACTTCAATTTCCTACACGCGCACAACCGCACTTGCATGTGCCCACTAACCTCACACAACATTGTCCACTGCCTTCACTCGCGTACACCAAACGCCCAAAGAAGCTCCATATAACATGCACACTCAATAGCACATCCATAATTTAATGTCAAAGGGGCACAAACTCATTTACATATAATAATGGAAAAATCATTTTTTACCCTGAACTTAGAAAAATGTATCAATTTTTGCTATCAACTTTCAATTTAATAAAATTGCATCTAAACTTAGATAAGTATTATTGTAATTTCACTGGATTTAAAGAAGTGTTGCAATTTTTACATTTTCATTTGAAAAAAAGCACTTTTCATGTGTCAAATTAATTATAAAATATATATTTAGTATAAAATTGATAGGATTCAAACATTAAAGCTAAATTTTCTCTTCATTTATAAATTTTTCTGGAGTTATTATTGATAGGTTGGAGACAGATGTCGAACTATACTCACTTTGGCAATAAAAGAATTCGCTTTTTATGGGAATTGATTGTGCCCCTACCTTTTTTTTTGGTTAAATTTAGTGTGTGAAATAGCAAAATTATTAAAGGTAAAAAATTACAATACTTATTTTAATTTAGTGTTCTCTTAATAAAATTGAAAGTTCCCAGTCAAAATTGATACAATTTGGTAAAAAATTATTTATATTCTTAAATATAATTTTCGATGCACTTACAATAAACCTTCGACCAAACTCTAATAAATGTATAATGATAATTTTTCTAATACTACATTAGCATAACTGCTTCGATAAAATATCTACCCATCAGCATTATTTAAGAATTACATGGAGTCCAAAGGGATGGCAAAAAAAAGCCTTGCAGGACCCGATCCTTGAGTACCCAACCTCTAATAGGGTGGAGGAATCATCGGAGAATCACCGATTTGACCGAGGATGAGGTCAAACTGGGGATCCCAATCGGAATTCCTGAAGACTGGACGGAGACGAAGGGAGGATTCCCCGTCCCATCCCCATCCTTTTTAATATTTTATTACTTTTTCTATTTTTTTATATAATAATATTAATATATACTTCTTAATTTTTTTTAACACAAACTAATATCTCATTTAACCACTTTTTGTTCACTTTTTATACTAATAATAACAAAAATTAATTAAAAAATTAAAAATTAAAAAATATATATATATATTTATAATGGGAAGAGTTCGAATGGGTTGGGGAATCCCCACCCATCCCCGATCGGAATCCCCACCCACAAAATTTTGGGGACGGGGTGAGGATGGGGAGAAAATCCCCAATGGGGCAGGGATGAGGATGGCCCAGCCCCACCCGTTGCCATCCCTAAGTCTAATAGTATTAAAAATTTTATTTTAAAAAATCTCATAACGTGAATAGAGAGTACATATTATATGAATATTATAAATTCTCCCAGCTGTACTCACATGTCGCATTCACATTCACAATGCTTGAAGGATGTTCCGAGAGAGGTACTCATATTATACAGAACTTATACTATTCATTAACATCTGAAAATTACCTAAACTGGTCTGATAAAATAAGACAGATGGGAATTAGCAAAGGTTTCAGGAGACCAAATACAGTTACTACTGGAGGGGGATCTGGTTAGGCTTCATTGTGACTGCAACATGGAGATTTTGTTGGAATCCCACAACACTCTCATAACGCCAATTTTCATTTCAGCCTCATGAAATGAGGTGCCTGTCGCATCGGATGGGTATGGAAGAACCATATTTTTATCAGCCTTCAGTTCATCAACGTCGACAACAAATGTTTCAAGTTCATCCAAATTTCTTCCGTACCATTTACCATATACCTGGTGAACTTTACCTCTCGCCACCTCCTCTCCAAGCACATCTACGAGAATGACGTACTGGCCAGGCTTCCAGTGAACAAATTCTGTCGGGCAAATGTTGCCAAATTCCGTGGTTGGACTCTTGGAACTGCTAACTGCATTAGTTCTTGATGTGATTCTCCGATCTCTTGCTGTATTAGTATTAGGTACATGTTTATCTTCACTTGGGCTATCAGGTGAGTCGCAGGATCCGGCTGCAGCCCCCCCTTGTTTATCTGGATTTACACCATCAGCTTCCAAGTTTGCACGGATATCCCTAGCTGTGCGCGCTAGCCTCGCTTTTCTATTGTTCAGCCTGTTCAGTCCAGAAGCGAAAACCGCTCAAAACACAAGCCGATACACTGAAACGATCAAGAGAGAGCAAGAGGGGTTGCTTACCAATTTTTAAGCTGGGATGGTGTAACCTCAGAACCCTGAGAAACATAACATACAAGCCACTTAAAACCAAGCATTGGTTATTTAGAAATAAGAGAACTGAAAGGGAAAAAATATGTCACATATGGGCTTTTTGGTGTATTTGACATACATAAGAAATTAATTGATCAGCCCAAAATTGGATTGAAGCTGAAAATCTCTGCATTTCAGGTTCATCCAATAGAGCTTTCTCAATTACTGTAACCTGCTTCTCGTTCATTACGGTACGTTTCCGTTTTCGTCTATGCTTTTCTTTGCTATGAACATTTTCAACCTTCTCTTCCTCTAGACTTCCACCTTGTTCTGTCTCTTTGGCATGCTCGTTGGGCTTTGAAAAATCAACAACGTCTATTTGCTGCATACTATTCCTTCCTCTAGCAGAGTTTGTGTCAGATCCACTAGTTTCAATATTCTGTATATCTCTCTCATCCTCTTTTGAACCTCCAGATTCCTTTCTACCAGATTCATCCTCATCTTTAACTAGAACCTGCTCCTGCTTCAACACGGCATCATCGCCCTGATCACATCGTTCACTGTCGAGACAAATTTCAGTTTCTTGAAAAGCAGAAGTCTCGGACATTCCTTCCTTCAAATTACCTTTCCCATTATCAGGATGTGGAAGTTCTCTCACTAAAGGTGACAAGCAACCTTCCGCACTCTGTGCATCCTGTTAGAGATCAAATATTCATACTTTACTACATAAGAAAAAATGCACTATTATTACACAAATAGAAGGAAAATCATCAAACATTGCCGTAAAAGTTGGAACRTAACTTGAGATTAATAACAATTTCTATTTCAAAAGTAGCGGGAAAAACATCAAGCATCTCATGATTAAAATCAATGCACCAATTGGAATATGCCAAAGGAAAATTGATCAGATATCTCATGAATAGTAAAAGTCTAGTTAAGAAATCACTTACACAAACTAAAAAACCTGAGTTTATTTGAATCCCTGGAAAACTTGTTATCTAAGTCAACTTTAACTATCAGATGGTTTCTTTTCACTTTTCCTTCCAAGAACATCACGAGCATGAGACCTCCAGACAGATTCACATACGTGAAAAGGAAGGGCAGTGAAGTGGATAATTAATTGGGCCCCACTTTTATATTAGAGACGTAGTTGGACATCTTGGCGCAGAGCTTGCTCTGGGAAGGAAAAGTACTTGACCATCTTGAAGAGGTGAGAATCATTGTACAGTCTAGTTTATTGCTTTGTTGGTGTTTTTATTCTACGATAGGTAAACTGAAACCCAATAATTAGTATTATTAGATCAAACAACCTTGGCATGCCCAAAACAATGGATAATAGAGTTGAAGCTACTGATCGGGACCAATGAGGGAGGAGGTTAAATGGTTATCATCGAAAACAGTGAAGACGATGGCAACAATCCTGGAATGGATAGGTATAATGATAAGGAGATGGGAGGAGTTGGAGAGGTCAGTAAGGAAACATATACAATTAGTAAGATAACACCAGACTCAGATTGTTTATAAAAGACAGAATGGTACGACTTACTCTCTTCTTCATTCCAAAGTCCTCAATCACCTGACTGAATTTCCAAACCATGCTTGCGGACTTTGTTTCAACCCATATAAGGATTTACGAAGACGACATACCTTCCCATTCTCCCCCTGAGCAACAAAACCTGGTAGTTGCTCCATATACGTCTTCTTGAAGATCACCATGGAGGAATGCATTTTTAATATCAAGATGCCAAGGAAATGAATAACCTGATAGAAGCCGATTTAGCAACTGGAGAAAAAGTATCAAAACAATAAGTCTGCGCATATCATTTAGCAACAAGACGAGCTTTCATACGGGCAATTGATCCATTAGGATGAACTTTAACAGCAAACATCCATTTACAACCGATAGGTTCTGCAGAAAGAGACTAAATCCCAAGTACCATTATCATCCAAGGCAGTCATCTCCTCCAACCAGGATGAGACAAAGCTTCATGAACAATTTTAGGAACAGATACAGACTCAAGGGATGCAAGAAACGAACAAATAAGTGAGGACAAATGGTTATCGGAAACAAAAGAAGAGACATGATACGTACAGTTACCTTTTCGAAGGGCAATAGGAAGGTCATCGCTCGTTCCTGGATCCACGGACGAGGAAGCTGTTGGTATAGGGCATGAGTCCGTCGGAGGTTGCCAACGAGAATAAACTTGAGTAACAGTTGGGAGAGAGGAATCAGGCACAGGCGGAGATGTATTGCTTGGAAGCATTTCAGTGGAAGTCATCATCTTCCTGTGAATGCTTCCCCTGACTTGTACTCAAGGATGATGAAAAATGAGTATCTTCAAAGAAAGCAACGTCAGGAGAGACAAGATATCTTTTGAGATCAGGACAATAACATCGATACCCTTTTTGAACACGAGAATAACCAAGAAAAATGCATTTCAACGACTTAGGATCTAATTTGGTGAGCTGGGGACGATCATCCCGAATGAAACAAGAGCAACCAAATATTTTAGGTTTAAGAGAAAATAAAGGTTGCGTAGGACATAGAGTACGATAAGGTATCTCACTCTCAAGAACTGATGAAGGCATGCGAGTAATCAAGAAGCAGGCTGTCGAGACAGCATCGGCCCAAAAATATTTTGGAACATGCATTTCAAATATTAAGGCCCTTGCTATTTCTAGAAGATGTCTATTTTTCCTTTTTGCAACTTCATTTTGAGACAAAGTACCACACACGAGGATTGGTGAAAAATACCATATTCACTCAAATAGGAGCCAAGAGCACCAGAAAAATATTCTTTAGTATTATCACTTCTTAGAACTTTAAGACGACCACCAAATTGAGTTCGAACTTCAGCATGAAAGTTACGAAAATGATAAAGTAATTCAGAACGATGTTTCATTAGATATAACCAAGTTACATGAGAAAAATCATCAACAAAGGTAACAAAATACCGAAACTCTTTTTTGGACTCAATAGGACAAGAGGACCCCAAATATCATAATGAACTAATTAAAAAGAGTAGTAGCTCGTTTATTGACTCTAGGATACAAACTGAGACGATGAAACTTAGCAAATTGACATGACTCACAATCTAAAGAATGCAAACTATGAAATTGACAACGAAGACTTTTAACACAGAGAGAGATGGATGACCTAAACGACAATATTCTTCAAAAAAAGATGGTACGCAAGTGCAAACAATAGCTCTAGGGATATGTGTATCAAATGTGTAGAGGTCATTAGATTCACACCCTTTACCAATAGTCTTCTTCGTCGTAAGATCCTGAAATAAGCAATAACCAAGGAAAAATAAGACACAACAATTGAGATCACGAGTAAGTTTACTGACAAAGATTAAATTAAATTGAGAATTGTGGTAGATTTAAGACAGAGGTCAATGAAAGAGATTTGGAAATATGCACTGTGTCAGAGCCAAGAACAGGAGAAGTGGTGTCATCTGCTATGGTAACATCAGGCAACAATGTAGATGAGAAGAAATTATCAAATAAATTAAGATTACCTGATATATGATTTGTTGCGTCAGAGTCAATGACCCATTTTGTTGCGGAGGAAAGAAAACATTTACTGGTGTTACCTGACACAGCGATTGCGGTAATCGAATTAGAGGACGATGCCGTCAATGACTCTTTATACTGTTGGAACTTAGCAAACTCTTCCGCAAGAATCATAACTAACTTGCCAGCATTATCAGGAGTAGATGCAACGTGTGCGGACTGTGTTCTCTTACCTTTATCAATAGCTTTCTGCATTCTCGCTTTGTATGTCTAAGCTTATGATAATAAATTAATAATTACATATAATGACATCTCCTGAATTTGATTTTGGAGCACTATAATTCCATCCTTGAGTATTCGAAGTCATGGAATTTCCTTGGTAGGTATTACCTCGGCATGCATTTGTACTACGTCCAACCAAAGCGTTGTTAGTTTGAGATGACAGGACGGGTTGTGACTTCTCAACGCAAAGTACTCGAGTGTATGCCTCCTTTAAAGCTAGAATTTCCGAACCAGAGAATAATTGATCTTTGGCCACGTCAAATTTAAGTGGAAGACCAAGAAGAAAACTTATAGTTGCTATTTGTTCGCGTTGGGCAAGCCGAACTTTTGCATCATTACTATCTGGGAGTAATCCATTAAACTCTGCATAAGTCTTTTTGTGTTCCATAAAGTAACTTGTAAGCGATTGGTCACCACACTCACGTTGGTAGAAGCGCTTGCAGATTTCAAATATTCGACTAACATTTCATTTTCCATAATAAAGGAATTCCAAGTATTTAAGCAATTTTTTAACAGACTCATACTCATTGACCATGCCAATAATGTCACCCTCAATCGAATTCTTGATCTGCAGAACCAGTCAAGCAATCATCCCGCAACCAAGCTTTCTGGTTCTCATCCTTAGGAGGATTTTCAGTTATGTGATCGTTCATATCAATATTTCGCTAAAAAAGACGACCATTTACTTCATGAAGAATAGTTTGATCCTGTTAAGGATCCCACATTGAAAAGAAAAGGGATCTAACAATGGTTTATAATACACATGGGCTACTCGTCTCATTTCCAATTGGTTTTGAGATGGAACCTCATGGATATTGATATGGTATCAGAGCCCAAAAACGCTCAAACGAGCAATCGGTCCAAAAATGGGATCCGGCCAAGATCGATGAGCCAAAAGAGCCACGATCTTGAGGGGGCATGTTAAGGCCCTTAACTTAAGGATCCCACATTGAAAAGAAAAGGGACCTAACAATGGTTTATAATACACATGGACTACTCCTCTCATTGCCAATTGGTTTTGAGATAGAACCCCATGGATATTGATAGATCCATTCAACTTATGTTTTGTAATTTTTTATAGCATTGGGATCATCTCAGATGCTACACTTGATTTCTTCTCTGCCATAACAAACAATCGAATTGATTCGATCCAAACAAATCAACTGAACTTAATGGCTGAACTGGACCAACTGAACCAAACTAGCCGAACCTGGCCAACTGAACCGGATCACTTGAACCGAACCGTGTGTTTTCTGAAACCAGAAACCCTAGCAGCCACACCTTCAATGGTGTTAGAGTATATATTAGTATATTTTATATTCTTGTATTAATATTAATTTGTCATTTACCTTCTCCTTATAGGATTAGGTCAACCTTGTATATTTGTCTATATATATAGACTTTAATAATGAGAATACATAACATTGGATTCTCTCCAACCTTAGTCTCTACATGGTATCAGAGATCTAGGTTTTCAGGTTTCTTGCCCATTAGGGTTTTTGCGCCCATTAGGGTTTTGCGCCCATTAAGGTTTTGTGCCCATTAGGGTTTTGGTTCATTGCTATCCAACACCACCACCGCCGCCGCCGACCACCGCCGCCGCCGTTTGCTGATTTGCCAGTTATTTTTCCAATTGCCATTCGTGGGTTTTGTCTCGCCGTCCTTCGCACCTTCGTCGCGGTGCGCTTCTATGACCGCCAATCGTCTTTACTCATCTGGTTGTCGTGGGGGAGCACTTGGGGTTTCTGGTTTCAGAAAACACCTAATCCGGTTTGGTTCCAACCGTTTGATTCATCTGTTTTGTTTGATTCGAGTGGTTTGGTCTGGTTCTGTCGTTTTGTTCAAATAAGTTCGCTTGTTTGTTATGGCTGAGAAGAAATCAATCGTAACTTC